GCTGGCTACCCCACTTGTCCTTTCTCCAGTCTACATTTTGTGAGGACAAAGTCTATTACTTCCAACTGCCCATGGCCATCAGCCTCTTGTCAGTGGACACACAAAGCATGGCCTGAGGACTCACCTCTGCAGGGAAGGCTACTAAGAGAGAAGGAAGTAGAAATTGCCCATCTGGGTCCTCTTTCTCCCCCTCTTCAGCTCAGCATCCCCTTCCTCCATGCAAACTTTGCAAATGTCCCAGCCTTCAGTTGTCCACCTGCCTCCCTCTCCTCTGTTTTAATGGCACTTCTTAAATCTGTGCCACAAAAGGGACTCCAAGTCACCTGGTCTCAGATGGTTCTATACATATTGATGTTAGGTGCCATCCAGTGGGCTCTGACCCATAACGACCCTCTGTACAACAGAACAAAACACTGCTATATATTAGTACTTTATTAAGGCAATTTAGGAGTCCCAAGCTAGTGCAAATGGATAAACACTCAACCTGAAAGGCTGGTAACTCAAACCCACCCAGGGGTGTCTCGGAAGACAGGCCACAGCCTTGAAAATACATAGGGTTGCCATGAGTCGAAACCAACTTGCTGGCAACTAACAACAAAGCAAGTTAATTGCCCTGAAGGCAAATGTGGCCCAGCCCTGCCTGTGCCAGGCCCAGTGGGTGGACACAGAAATGAACCAGTCATAACCTCAAAGGACTTAAAGTCACTGAGGGGAGTCAGACACTAGGAACAGATACAATTAACTGGAACACAAAACAAGATGACCTAAATGGTATTCAATGGTGAGCAGCATGCTGTATACATAAACCATGGTTACACACTTCTTAATCATTATTATTCTGAAGAGTATATCATCTATCTCTTAGTCAGCGCTAAAAGGTATCATCTAGTTCAACCTCTTGTTTTCCACTAGAGGAGTCTGAGACTCAGAGAAAGGTGGGGTGTGACCTAAAGTCTCATCAGTCCACTTGGCTGAGCCAAGACTAGAACCAGTTCTTCTGAAGCCCAGCCCATCTTCCCTGGTAGTTCCATACAGAAATCCCATATCCCAGAAGACCATGTGATTCTTGAGGCAGTGTTAGTCTCATTTAAGCAAAGCTGAGCCAGGGCCAGGGGAGCTCAAAACACTTAGGGGCTCAGGAAATGTAGCCTGACCACAGCTTTTTTATCTACTGCACCCCCGTGTGCACCCTACTCTTACCAACAACCAAACCCAAACCCAAACTCGTTGCTGTTGAGTCCATTCCGACTCCTACCTACCATGGAGGACAGAGTAGAAATGCCACATAGTTTCCACAGTTATACAGGTGGCAGGCTGCCACATCTTTCTCCCATGAAGCTAGCTGGATGGTTTGAACCAACCTTTCAGTTATCAGCAGAATGGTTAATTCACCAGGAGGACTCTGTAATCTTACCGAAAAGTCCTAAAATTTCTTTTATTCAATTTTTTTTCAGGAAGTGGGTTTTTTTAAATTATTAATATTTTCATGAGACCTTCACCCAGAACCCAACCCATTGCCATCAAGTTGATTCTGACTCTTGGCTACCCCTGGAGTAGAACTGTTCCACCACGGGCTTCCTCGATTGATCTTTACCAAGGCACAATGCCAGGCCTGTCTTCCATGGCACCCCGGGTGAGCTAGGATGTTAAGCTGTTCATACCACCCATGGTGCACCACTCAGAACAAATCAAACCCATTGGTCAGGTCAATTCCTATGGATAGTGACCCTGGAATACCGGGATATAAATCACACAGCTGCTTGGAGTGAGGCGCCACAATTTTCCTGCCCTCAGCTCCCTCAAAGGGAACTCTAGAAGCAGAACTCAGAAGCCTTTGTCCCAAGTCCTAATTTCTTTTGCTTTTGTCATTTATTTATTTATTTTAAAATCATTTTATTGGGGGCTCATACAATTCTATCACAATCCATCCATCCATCCATTGTGTCAAGCACATATGTTCATTTGTTGCCCTCAGCATTCTCAAAACATTTGCCTTCTACTTGAGCCCTTAATATCAGCTGTTCATTTTCCCCTCCCTCCCCTGAGTCCTAATTTCTAATGGCTTTAGAGAAGCCATGTTTGTTGTAATTCTCTTCTAAAGTCTGTCTTTAATGGAAACAAAATCTTGTCTTCATTCATGAAACTTCAAGAAACCAGCTGTGTATTCCCAGAGGCCTAAGGAAAATAGCACCAGTAGCCGTCAGTTTTAACTTGCTGAGAGGTCCCTCACAGCTGGCAATGGAAACTGCAAGTGAATAGAACATACTCATTGGCACCACCACCACCACCCCACAGTGGCTGGCAACCCCTGCAGGTGCCAATGCCGCCATAGCCTAGACACTCTCTGTGTATGCCCACTAGGGTGTGACAGGGATGAGATTTCCCTGGTCTCTCCTTTGCAGGGTTGGTCCCAAGTACTCCTCGACTGAGGAGAGAGACCCAAATTCTCCCTGGGAAGGCAGAGGGAGGTTTTGTAAAGAAGGAAGTCTTAAAGAATGAATTCATCCACTCAAAGCCTGAATCTCATAGTGCATCTAACGCAGCAGTTCGCAACCTGTGAGTCATGACCCCTTTGGGAGTTGAATGACTTTTTCACAGGGGTCCCCGATTCATAACAGTAGCAAAATTACAGTGATGAAGTAGTGAGTTAGTTAGATTATTGTGCCAACCTGGCTGATAAACACATGTGGGGTTAATTGAAGGGCGGAGGGATAAATGGCTCGGTGAGCCTCGCCTTTCTAGTTCTCGGGTCTCTTACTTTCTGATGTTCGGACCAGGGTGCAGCTTCCTTAGCCAGTTCCCTGCTTTAGCTGGCAAGGCTTACTTCCTGCAAGACATCCCCAAGAAGAAGTCGCATGGACCTACCCCGATGCAGCCCTGGGTGCTGGAGCAGCTGTGTGGAGACCCCTGCCAGTGCTGACTGAGATGCTTACACATTCACTGACTCGGCTTTCCTCCTGCAGAAGGCATCATAGTGTGTGTTTTGTGAGATGGAGGAGGACTTGGTGGATTGGTGTTAGACATATGGGTTAATAATGTTGGACTTGGCTTGGGCAGTACTGGGCTGGGATGTTTTCTTGATGTGCACTTAACCATTATATAAAACTCTCTTATGCATGAGTTTCTGTGGATTTGTTTCTCTAAAGTACCCAGACTAATACAAGTAGCAACGAAAATAATTTTATGGTTGAGGGGTCACCACAACATGAGGAACTGTATGAAAGGTTCATGGCATTAGGAAGTTGAGAACCACTGCTCTAATGTCTCAGTTGACCACTGTGTGCTGTTGGACTGGTGAAATGTGATTAGTCCAATTGGAGACATATTCTAAATGTAAGCTCCAAGGCTTAGTACTTCTAAATACCAATTATTTGATGGATTATATATTGAATCATAAAAAATTTTAATATTGGGTTGGTTTTGACATAATAGGTTCAGTAAAAAACGTATTCTTAGCATTAATTTTACCTGTTTCTTTTTTACCTTTTAGTAAATGTCATCATTAGAAAACCTTAAATCATGTGTGACTCACATTCTACTTCTTTTAGACAACACTGAAAGAGATGATCAAGTGCATGGCAGAGGTGGTTGAACAGGTGTATTGGAGGGGGAAAGATGCTGCCCAGCAGACAGTAAGTAGTGTATTAGGACCAGATTGTAAAAGAATGAGCCGATTTCCCCTGGCAATTTATACAGGAAAAAATTCAGGCAGAGCGAATAGAATGTGCGACGATCTGGGCAGGCGTGTTCTGTTTAGGAAGCTCACTTTCAGAGTATGATTTCAAAAGAAAAAAATAGGGATTCGCTGAGTGTCCGTGTCAGGCATTGACAGCTGGCCTTTCATACCGCTTCCTATTTTATCTTGACAACTAACCAGTGAAGGGAAGATTATTCTGTTTGACCAAAGAGAGGAAACCCGGAAAGGTCAAGCTATTTATCCTCGGGGCCATCCTCCTTTTTTGTGTGGAAAGCTTCTTGCAGATGGGGACCTTGTCGTTTTAGCTTCGGCGCCTACCTCGCCCCAAGGCAGGGCACGCGGTCGGCGCTGAGAAAGTTCGCTTGGAGCCGAGCCAGGGCTGCTCGCGGCCTCGGGAGCACCAGAGGGCGCCCTCGAGTCCGCACACCCGCCCAGCTCTCCCGCCAGACCCGACCTCGGGCCGCGGCCTGGGTGCGGCCCGCCAGCCCCAAGCAGCTGCGCGCCCCGGCTGGGAGATGCAGCTAGGGGAGCCCCACGTCCCCTCACCGCCCTGCCCCCTCTCCAAGGCCGCGCCGAGCGCGCGGAGCAGCGACGCGACATCCTGTTTTTGGGGCCCGCGGCTCCGCCTGCGCCTCTGCTGATCTTGTCTTTCCCCGGGTGCTGACGCCAGCTCCCCTTCCCCAGGCTCCCCGCCCCGCAAGGGTCTGGGGCCTTCCCACTGCTGAATCACCAGCATCCCGCAACCCCCCGGGGGATCGGGGCAGGGGCGGGGACTGCCCCGGGCTGACCCATTCGGGCCATTCCCCAGGCGCGGCCCTCGCTCGATGCCGCGGGTTGGCAGAAGGTACCAGGCCTAGGGACGCCTTCCCGCAGCATCTTCCCGGGGAGGGTGGGAGGGACGAGATACAGGGAAGGGAGACAAATGGCGAGCGCAGGCTGAGGCCTCTGCCGGGAAGGGGGCCAGGTTGCAGGCTGGAAGGCCTAACTTTGGGAGGCTTGACCTTAAGAGGTTCCAGGCAGAGGCCAGAGAGA